AAGTTTATGCAAGTTTAATCATAACAGGCCATAATATTATATAGCAACTCTAAAAAAAAAATTACCCTGGTCACTCATCTGGAAAATGTAGGTCAGATTCAGAATCCAAAGCAAGTCTGGAAGTGTCCATCCCTAGATACATCATCCATGCTAATTTAGTTAAAATATGGCTAAAATTCACTCATGTGGAAAATCTAGCCTAAGGTCAGATCCAGCATCCGAAGCAGATTGGTCAGTATACATCCCTACATGCATCATCCATGAATTTTGCCCCAGGAAGGCCTTATAGTTACTTGGGAATGCACCTGCTCCAAAATCTAAACATGGTCACTCATCTGGAAAATCTACCTCCGATCCAGCATCCAAAGCAAGTGTGGTAGCTAGCGTTCATCCCTAGATACATCATCCATCCAAGTTTGGTCAAGGTAGGGCTTAAAGTTACCTGGGAATGGACCTGCTCAAAAAACTTTAACCTAGTCACTCATCTGGAAAATCTAGGTCAGATCCAGCATCCGAAGCAAGTGTGATAGTGCCCATCCCTAGATGCATCATACATGCAAGTTTGGTCCTGGAAGGGCTTATAGGTACATGGGAATGTACCTGCTCCAAAACTTTATCCTGGTCAATCATCTGGAAAATCTAGGTCATATCCAGCATCCGAAGCAAGTGTGGTAGTGTCCATCCCTAGATGCATCATCCGTGCAAGTTTGGTCCAGGTAGGGCTTATATTTACTTGGGAATGGACCTGCTCAAAAAACTTTAACCTGGTCACTCATCTGGAAAATCTAGGTCAGATCCAGCATCCGAAGCATGTGTGGTAGTGACCATCCCTAGGTAGGGCTTATAGTTTCTTGGGAATGGACCTGCTCAAAAAACTTTAACCTGGTCACTCATCTGGAAGATTTAGTTTAGATCCAGCATCCGAAGCAAGTGTGGTAGTGTCCATCCCTAGATGCATCATCCATGCAAGTTTGGTCCAGGTAGAGCATATAGTTATTTGGGAATGAACTTGCTCCTAAAACTTACGAGACCTATCAAGATGACGAGGCAGAAATTCTACCCTTTGGAATACCACTTGAACACCAATACAAAGTATACAGGAAAGATAGGAAAACTCTTATTGATAAAGGTGGAGGGGCCGTGATCATCATGGTAAAGCCAACTTACGATTGTGAAGACAGTCCAGATCTTGATACTGCATGCGAACTAAAGTGGATGAAGTTAACTACATGTGGGAAAGATGCAGTCCTAATTGGATCTTACTGCCAAGAACCAAAGTAATCGCTTGAAGCCTTGCAACAAATCGATTTATCATTGTCTAAAATATTCAAGTCAGCTAAATACAAGAACTGTAAAATATTCCTGGGAAGAGATTTCAACCTTGGGGATATCAACTAGACCATGGGTTGTAGCACTTAAGGAGCCAGAGATAAATCACACTGTGATAAACTTGTATCAATACTGAACTGTTATGGGCTGGACCAAGTCAACACATTACCAACACATCATGATATTTATAACATCACATCCAACCCTTACTGAAAAGGTCTATACGTGTCCACCAATCGGAATGAGTGACCACGACATCTTAGCTATTCGAACAACACTCAAACCAACAAAGTCTACCTAGATCAATCGAACAGTTTACAACTATAAGAAAGCTAACTGGGAGGAAGTAAAGAGTAACATGTCTGATTTGTGAAATAGATATAAATCAGAAGATAGGGCTAAACAATCTGTAGAGGAAAACTGGAACCAATTTAAGGATGTGGTTTTCAGAGTTATGGACACATGGATTCCCCGAAAGGCAGTGAAAAAAAAGGCTGGTGTGTCGTCACTGCCGTGGATGACAAGGGAGATAAAGCGAATGTTACAAAAGAAAAAGCCGATGTACAAACAAGCTTTGAAAAATGGGAAAATACAACAGGCAGTCAACAGCTTTTATAGAATACAGGAAGTTAGTAAGGAATATAAGATCCATTCATCATATCATTAATATCTGAAAAAGTTAGTAGACTCAGAAGAGTGCACAACATCTGAAAACTTCGGGAAATACATCAAAGTCCGGAAACAAGATACTATGGGGATTTTAACAAGCTAAAGGGAAGATAACAGAAACATCACTGGAAAAAGCAAACATATTAAACGAACAATTTACATCTGTGTTTACCAAGGAGGACAAAAACAACATCCCGGAAAGGGACCGTCACCATACACTCCAATAAGAAATATCACCATCTCCGACTCGCGTGTAAGAAAGAGCATTCAACGCCTAAACGAGAAGAAAGTAAGTGGACCAGAGAAGAGACCCATCACATTCTTAAAACAAACAGTCGACATCATAATACCAGTAATGTCATTTATATTTCAACAATCATTGGACCGAGGAGAAATACCAGCAGACTGGAAAAATGCGAACTTAGTGCCAATTTATGCCAACAACACCTAAAAACTTTAGACAAGTATCACTCACAGCTGTTATATCCAAAATGCTAGAGCACATAATAGTCTCTCAGATCATGGACCATCTAGACAAAGGAAACATCTTGCATGAAAATCAACATGGATTTCGAGCTAGACGATCATGCGAATCCCAGCTGCTGATGATAGCTGATGACATCGCCAAACACTTACTAGACCAATGAATGCAAATTGATATGAGAATACTGGACTTTTCAAAAGCGTTCGACAAAGTTCCACACATCCGACTGTCGAAGAAATTACAATATTACGGCATACAGGGAACAACACAGAGATGGATCAACAACTTCTTGAAAAACAGACAACAACAGGTAGTTATATATAGTAGATAACGCAACATCTAGCACAGCATCTGGGGTCCCACGAGGAACTGTGCTTGGGCCAACATTGTTTCCCATCTTTATTAACGACACTGCAGACAACATCACTTCAACTATTCGATTATTCGCAGATGACTGTGGTATCCAGAGACCATGAATAGCTACAGAGGGATTTGAATACACTAGTGAAATGGAGCGATATCTGGCAAATAGAATTTAACATCAAGAAGTGTGCTATCATGCAGTTTGGAACATCAACAAGAAAGAAAGCCTTCAACTACACCATGAAGGGGGGGGGGCACTCAAGATTGTAGATCACCATCCATACTTAGGCGTTGAACTCCGTGACAACTTGAAGTACAATTTACACATAGATAACATCTGCAAGAAAGCCTCTAATGTGGGATTTCTGAAGCGCAAACTTCGACATTGTCCACCAATGGTCAAGGAAAGAGCATACCAGAGCCTAGTCCAACCAAAGTTAGAGTATGCAACACCAATATGGAATCCGAAACAGAAACAGATAGAACAAGTACAACGTAATGCAGCGAGATTTGTTAACAACAAACATCTATGATGCAGGAACTCAAATGGAATACTCTAGAACAGAGGACTGATGTAACACTTATGTACAAAGTAGTCAACCAACTCATAGCAGTCCCAATATCATACAACAATACTGGAACACTCTACCAGAATCAGCCATACTTTCACCATCCTTGGAGCAGTTTAAAACAACTACTCAGAACCTCCAACCTTGGAACACTTACCCTGTATACTAAGATACCAACAGTGACCTGTACAGAGTATATACATGTACTAGTACATGTTAAGGAGTAACTTTCTTTTCTTTTCTTTTCTTTCTTTTTTTTTTTTTTTTTTTTTTTTTTACATTTGGACACTGCCATTCCACTGCACGCATGTACATTATAAGTTTCCTCGCCAATAAATGTCCACAATGGATTTTCGCGAGTATCCACATTGAAGTTGAAATACATATGATTAGTCCTCCAATGAAGATAAAAATGAAAATTCCGAGACCTTAATTATTGGCGGCTTTTATTGCACATCAAATGGACATCATCAATCATATTCCAAAATTTGATTTGGCTACAGTGTGAAATGTGAGAGGAGTTCTGGAAACCACGTTTTTAGTAGAAAAATGTCGTTTTCAGTTTTCCTTTGACTCCGAAACCTTACTGGAAATCTACAGGACACCATATCAAAAGATGGATTGGCTACTAATTAAAATGTAGGAGGAGGAGGAGTTTTGGGAATAAGATAGTGTGAGAGACGTATGGGGGGATCAGGATAACAACAATATACATGTACCCGAAATTTCTATAGAAAGAGCAGGCATAAGAAGGTGCCAATAGTAGAATGAACGTATCCAGAATAATGGCGTCCACTTTTAAAAAGTTACCGGAAATTGTGTGTTAATATGGAAAAAAACAGATGTTATGATTTTTTCAAGGAAAACGGTCGGTGACATCATTTAGATTTTATTACAATCACCAAATGATTAACATAACTAATGAATATAAATATTTGGGTTTTGTGTTCAGATCTGATAGAAAATTGAAATTTGCAGCTGAACAACTATCAGAACGTGAAACGTGTAGATACTGTAAACTCCCTACTCCTATCTAGAGAAAAACGAACTGAATTGAAAAATGAAAAAAGTTACACAGTTATGGTAGGAATATGTCAGAGAATTTAATTATTCTAACGGGAGATTCAATAACTATTTGTCTTGCACGTAAAAAATAAATTCTCTTTTTGATACCACGATCTCTGTTTTGAATAGTGCCGCTAACGCATCTCCGTAAGTTGTTGCTCTCGTGCTTCCATACAATAACTCCCGTGACTGCATTTGAAAGTACACGATATATGGGCATATCAGGTTTATTTGCACGGAAGACTTTTTACACTTTTTAAAAAAAATTAACCAAATTTCCGGACGTCCATATACTTTGATTTTTCGTTTTCTTACGATGAGGCCATCAATAATTTAAAGGGAGGTCACTCTAAATCAAAACAATACTTGGCTAACGGGTGGTGACATGGAGTGATTTTCTTTCATGGATTTCGGATGAAACACGGGTAGAATTTTATAATGGGTAACTTTGACTTTGCTAGAACTGTTGTTGAGGTTATCCTTCCATTCGTGGGTAAGTATGAAACAGCGATTTCTTTGAGTTGGTGTAAATTAAAGGGATTTATGAGTCCTGTTGAGTTTATTCTTTATGTCGTATCCTATTCCATTTGATATGTGTTTTTGCATGTGAAAGTAAATAAAATGAAGTAAAGATGTCAAGTTTCTTACACTGCAATCGTAAAGTTAATATATATTTTTTATTAACTAAGGCATCGTTTAATTGATGTATGTGGTTTGTCGCGAACGAGTCTGTTTTTCCTACCTGTCTACTCATGCATGTCTTTAAGCTGACCGAATAAATTGATTTTAGCAGGTGAAACAATTGTTACATATAAGTCTTTATTTACACTACCGATTGGTATAAAATGAAATTAATCCTCGGGCAAATCAAGACACATCCAGACAAAGGTAAACAAACTGCTTTGACTGAATGCCTTAAACGTTAAATGATAGAGAGAAAGGGGTAGGAGGGAGATAAAATTTCACAGATAATACACAGAGAACTTTATTTTTATCTTTCATCTTCATTTTCAGAGGGGAGATGTTTTAACGCTGATAATGTGTAGCCAATACTTGAAAAGATGACAGATTATTTACATTTTGAACTCTGTATCATTTAATCGATCATGAGTGTCGACCGAATTTTAGACTCGTATCTGTTAGGTTAACCCTCATCACATGAAGCTATCATCAGTCAAACAAAATTAGACCTATTAGTATATATATATGATATCTACTTTACGAGGTGTGTTATTTGTCAACTATTAATATTCTTAGTCAAAGTCCATGGTTAACTGTTCTAAAGTGTACGGTTTTATTTGATTTCAAGGATCGAGCGATGACCAGATTGATTAATTGTCGGGATCTGAAAGCCTAGCGTGAATTAATTTTTTGAAAGTGGACCTACTTGAATTTTAAAACACACGGAATTTTTTTTTCTTCAGACGTGCCATATATTAAACTATTTCCGCATTACATTAACACGTGATGTTTTGATATTAAATCTTTATATATATTCATATTCGAAGTTAAAGTATAAACAAAGGTCTTTATCATAGATATTTTTTGAAACAAATGTACAAGAAGGAAATTGTGGTAAATTATATATAAAGGACAAACACCAAGTTTTGCATCTTCAAGGTCATGGGTTTACTGTGCGGACGCACACGATCAGATAACGATCCCGGATCCTATTTAAAGTTTTTCATGTTCGTGCGTTCCGTGTGTGCAAATATTTGTATACATTGTGTTAGATCAGAATTTTAGGTATTCCAGAATTATGAATGGTGCTAGTAAAATATAACCTATTCAGGACCTTTTTTCAGTTTTGGTACCTTAATTAACTCTTTCTAAATCAAAGAGTTCATCAAGTGTCTTCTAAAAAAGCTGATTAGTGCGTATTGCTGCCTTCTAGGGCGGTAAAGGATGTATCTAACTTGCCGAAAAAGAATTGTCCAAAGTAAAATATGAAAAAAATACTCAAAACGCACTTAAAATTTGAATATTTCAAATCCACTTAAAATTTGAATGTTTTAAATGCACTTAAATAGATTTAGTTTATCTTGGGGAACAAATGGAATTGTGATATTTTTTGCTTCATTTACATTTAAAGGACCGTGTTAATTATTTTCAAAATGTACCTTACTTGACAAAAGATGAACTTATTGAAGACTAAGTCCATTCATGTGCATAGTTTTACTCATTTACATGTGTAAGATTAAATGGACCGTAGGGAAGAGACAAAATGTTCAATATGAGCTTTTATAATGTATGTACGTGGTCTATTAATGCTTATATTGATTTGTGTTGTTCTATTGAACTCTGAGATTGCATCAAATATTAATACCATATATTTTTTAATAATGAAAAAACAAATGTATAAAAATATTTACATCCACTGAATATTATTTCCATTATTTCTTATAAAAACCATTGCCGTTAATCAGTCGGTAAACAACAACTAGGCAAGCCACCTGCATAGATTTCTTAAGCAACGGCTGCTTCATCAATTATGCATACAATGACATACACATCTTTAAAACAAGAAAGCATTTTATTGTTTAAGTTAACAGAAATTTATAAATGCAACACAATGTACTTGCTTAGAAAAAATGAATGGTGATGCTTTTTGTAACACCTTAAATGTGAAATTTTACATCTATTGCTTTTTCTCGTTCATCAACATCATCTGCAAATTTTGTTTTCGTTCAAAAATACCTACATTATTAAAATAAATCTTAACGTGCAGAAATATATATATATATATATATATATATATATATATATATATATATATATATATATATATATATATATATATATATATATAAAATACACGGCAAAATAGGAATCTACATGTTGTTATCAATTTCAGCTATAAGTTCACAGATTTGATCATTTGAGGAATGGCTTATTTAAGTAATATACAAGTACATATGGATATAACATACATAAATGATTTTTCTACATTTCAGTTTTATACTTTGCATTGATTACGGAAGTAGTCGAGCCTTTAGCTGTTCGGGGATTTTTCTGCTCAGATAAATCTCTGAGCTTTCCATACAAAGAGGGTTCGGTCAGCAATAACGCTGTCTATGCCACAGGCGGACTGCCTCTTGTGTTCGTAAGTCTCAGAAAAGTGCTCCATGTTCTTCCGAATGCGGATGCCGAGTGAGGAATTGGATGAGCGACCCTGCTATGAAAATCAAATCATTTGTAAATTTGGCAATATGTTGATCTGCGACATCAGTAAAATTTCATTAACGACGGTACAACAACATTGCTCTGTCCCTTGCATTATCAGAGGCATTCAATTCTCACAAGGCTTTCGAAAGCAGAAGAACATGTTGAAGGTTCTTTGCACTATTTAAGCATGTCTTTTGTTTCAGTTCTCTATAAAGCTGTTGATCTGGAGGTAGCCGTGCCGTATGTTGTGAGGGGCTTTTTCTGTGAGGATCAGCGATTAAGCTTCCCTTACACTGAAAGTACTGTCCCCAATTCCCTTATTTATGGGACTGGTACATTTCCTTTGATATTTGTAAGTAGAGCCGTCAATTAGGAAGTGTGTATGGTTGAGGTTTTTGGCATTCTTGCTTAAAAAAATTTCTTTCTCTCGGACGTCCATGTGCTACAAAGTTTTTCTCCTAGAGGAAGAAATATAGAGGCACTACAAAATCTTTGTTTGCACAAAGTTTTAACATTAATCAAAACTTTTTTCTATCAAACTTACATCTAGCGAGGGCGTTTTCTGAGTCCCAGGATAAATGAAAATCGTTAATATATTATGTTTAATTTTATCGTGATTTCTATATAATCATTTGCAGTTTTATTTTCAAATTAGATGTTAACGGTTTTATTTAGAAAACTTTATATAAAATTACATTTTAAAAAGAACGTTTCCCTCTTGCTTTTGATAAAAGAGATTTAAGTGACGCTTATGGTCCGACCGACCCCCCCCCCCCTAAAAAAAAAATTAGTTGTCAAACTGGGCTTGTGTGAATTCGCCTTCGTTTTCTAGTGATTGAACTGTAGCAGCTTTAATCGTTAGTAGATTTTCTAGTATGGTGTGACTGTGATATTGTGTTGGCATTGTGCTGATATTTTGTGATTAGTGTGCATTAATAGTGCAGTATGAGCTAGTAATGTTTACATAGTAGAGTTACACATGACGGTTCATACACGTAGTGTATAGGTGTGTTTTCTACTTACTTTGCATTGCATGCATCAAGTGTTTCGGATATTTAATTTTTGCAGAGGTCACCCACTAGAGAACGGCTATTTAAAAAAAAACACACACACCCTATACTGATTTTAGTGCACATACAGTGACACGTTTTCTGAAGGCAATCTGTTTTACTTATTGCTTCTCATGTTAAGTGTACTTGTACAAGGTGACGTTCAAATGATCTTCAAATTACATTAGAGTATCACCAAAAGAAATGTGTTTTTATTCGGGTATAACTATAATAAACTGGAAGCCAAATTATTCTGAACGAGTTTCAAGTTTTTACGAGTAATCGATTGGCGTTATACATTTGTTGGTAGCTTTTAAAAAACTGTTCAAAGCATACACGTACCTATTCTGTATCTTTATTTTAAATGTAGGCTAGCTTATAGCTTCAATTTGCAAGGGCGGATCTAGAGGTGGTTGGGGGTCCGGAGGGTTCAGAGTTATTGAATTTCTATGAAAAATTAACGAAAAATTATTTTGGACCCCCCTTGGAAACATGGACCCCTCTGAAAATTGTAGGGAGAGTCATGAATCTGAAGAAATTGACGTAGGAAAATGACTTTTCCTAATCCCCACCCCGAAAAAAATTCCTGGATTCGCCCCAGATTTGTTAAAAATATCTAATACAATTCTCGACTACTGATAAACTGTGACGTTTTGAGCATTATGCCATACATTAATTCCAATATTAATCTTGTAAACGCCCTTTTCCCTGACCCTCTTAGTATTGTGATTTGAAAATTAAGAATCTTCCTAACCTGATTAGCAAAAAGAAAAAAAAAAAAAGAAAAGAAAAAAGAAAATTTTTCCCAAGGTATCCTCCAAGCTTACCAGTATATTGTATCCAGTGTATATCATGCCTGCTTCTCCCATTCACCTTATTATTTAGTATACTCAAAGCATTAACAAATCTTAACCTTCATTCGTGTTATAAATTGTTCTATCATGATCAAATTAAGTTTTTTTTCCCAAAAGATAATAAATTTATATAGTACTATTAACAAGAAGTTTGTTCGTCTTTTATATTAACAATAATGATTATACCAAGAATGAATTCAAAGATAATAAACACATATACATGTACAGGGAAACCAATATTGATGAAAAATATAGACATAAATTGCTTTTTTTCTTTTATAGGTTATTGTAACAGCGTATAATGTGATACCTCTTAAAAAGTTGTACCGGATATGGGTATCGTATGCATTCGGAATTTCCTCCATTTATTTCTTCATGAACGTCGTGAAATTATTTTATGGAGAACTGAGACCCAACTTCTTTGAAGCTTGTAAACCAGTGTGGCCGAATATGAATTGCAGTAGTTATGTAACAGATTTCAACTGTACAGGAAGTAATAGGAAGGCTGCTATAGAATCTATGTAAGTTTGTGTGTATTTTTAATGCCACAAATCTTGTTTTCCAAATTTGAAATATGCCCCTCTTTCTTGATTATCTCGGGAAGACTCCCCCCCCCCTCCCCCACACCTAGCAACTCTGTCATTGACAAAGGTGTGGAATATGTTACTCTATTGCTTATAACACCTGAATTAAAATAAATGTCATTTCTTTTCCAATTTTACGAACCTTGTAAGATTTTTCAGATACACAGTATTTCTTTAAAATGTTACTCTAAAATGATCTAATTTTTGATAGAATTTTTACTGATAGTGTATAATGTACATTGTATATCTGTAATCTATTTTTTTTTTTTGTTTGTTGTTTTTTTTTTTTTTAGCAATTAAAAAAAGAATTGGTGAATTTAAAATTCAATTGTGATTAAAAAAGAAATGGACATGCACTAAATGGATAGAATATAGAATTGCCTGCCGTAATTATCCAAAATTTAACAACTTTTCTCAGTCCTATACATTTTTCGGCAACTACATATACATTATGACATTTTACCGATAGTTTGGACTTTTGGGTGTTGTTGACAAACAACAAAATGTGATGGTTTTCCATCAAGGTGAATTAAGCAAGAGTTATTTCCCATGGCCGCCATATTGTAGGTCAACATCCCGATTTTCTCTGCTAACACTAGTTCAGAGGCCTGTTCAACAGCTGATGTGAAATAGTTTAATGTGTCGTAAATATAAGCAGTCACCGCCCACAGAAAGTCCAAGCTATCGATAGATTTGTTATTAAATTACATGTAAATGTCTGCATACGTTTTAACTGGCCAGTGCCTATAAAGGTGTACATGTAATTAATCGAAGAGCTATGTATAATATATGAACTTCCCTCATAAACTTATTTTGACCCGAGAGAAACACCCTGTGAAATATCCGAAGTGGAAAAATCAATGAATTCAATGTATTTTTAGGTATGTCTGGGAGAAAAAGTGCATTGTATATAATAAACTTTATATGTATATATCATTGTAGAAATATTTTGATTCAGTTTTGATTTGTGCAAATACTAAGTTTAAAGCAAATTAAAAAATTATTAAACAATTAAAAAAACATATTTATGTATTCCTTCATAATATTTATGCATAATGTTTGTGTCTGTGCTATGGTCAGGCCCGTAGCAACGGTTTCAAAAAGGGGGGGGGGGGTCGCAAAAAAGAAAAAAAAGAAAGAAAAGAAAAAAAACCTAAACCAACCAAAAAGTGAGGGGGCCAACTACGCAAAATTATCCGACATACAAAAAAAAATTAATTAACCGTTCATCCAAATCCTGGAATTTGCCACTGCTAGACCTTACTGCAACAAAAAGTGGGGGACCAGCATATAAAGGAAAATTCACTATAGCAAAATACTATAAAAACACTATACTCAGAAAAAGAGGGAGGCCGCCTCTCTCTCTCTCTCTCTCTCTCTCTCTCTCTCTCTCTCTCCCCAGCGTTCTACGGGCCTGGCAGTGGTTGCCTGCATGAAACATTAGGTCTTTGCCTGCATTTACAGGAATCAGGAAAGTAAATAATCTTATGTAGTCTTGTGCATTTGATACCAAAATAACTATTTAAAATTCACAATTTCAGGCGAAGCTTTCCGTCAAGTCATGCCGGTATCACCATTTTTGGAATGCTATATTTGATAGTGAGTATGATATTTCAAGAGGCGGGTTTCAGTCAGGAATAAACCACACATTAAAGAAACTATGATGTTTACACTTTATTAGAGGTATGTTTTTCTTAACTTTGGCAGATTTTTACACAAGAAGTTTTCATGAATAGAAGAAAACAGTATCATCTAGGATGGGCCATATTCCAGTGGGCAGGGTTTTTATGGGCAGTGTACGCGGGAATGTCACGCATCACTGACAATAAACACCACATCCAGGACGTGATAGGAGGATATATTATAGGTGGTGCAACGTCCTATTGGGTGGTAAGCTGTTTATTTTCTAATAGATTTAACTTTTGGGTATGGCTGACATTTCTTCAGTGCTATCACTTGCTCTGATGGAAAATTTTTAGTTTATTTTGGCATGTGTTTAAAATTTGATGGGACAAGATGTTAGGCCTACTTTCAATGAAATTGTAATGTATGTATATTATGTAAATAATAATGCACCTGACAGGCACGTAGTGAAAGGGGGGGGGGCAACCTACCTGAAAAAAAAAACTGAGGCAAGCGTAATAAAAAAAAAATTAAGAAGAATTGTCCAAACACGAAAATCCTATCTTCTTCTTCTTCTGTTAATTTGCCTGGTACCAATGTTAGGTATTATCGCACATGTGTGTGTGTGTGTGTGTGTGGGTGGGATGGGGGGGGGGGTAAGTTCCAACCATTACCAAATTATCATGATATGATTTAACTATGCTCAACGAAAAAAAGGGGGAACGTACCAAATTATCATGATATGATTTAACTATGCTACAACGAAAAAAGTGGGAACCAGCCTTTCAACATTTTCAATAGTAAGATGTTATGTCAGAAAAAAGTAAGAGGAGGGGAGAGCACCCCCCCCCCCCCCCCCAATACTACGTGCCTGCCTGAAACTTTTTATCCTAGTACGGTGTTCTCAGGTTTAACAGTTTAATATCATGGTAGAAAAATATTAATCTTTTGATTTTTTTTTGTTTTGTTTTTTTTTGTTTGTTTTTTTCGAAGTGAGGAAGGGGATATTGTTTTATATTGTAAGGATATTGTTTTGTAGACTTTCAAACTGACGTTTTTGTAGGGTTGTATCTTTTGAATCTTGTAGGCTTATTACTGGTCTGGACTTGGAGAAATTGGAAATCCAAGACCAGAGAAAGATGGAAAAGCTCAAAATCATTTGATTACACACTGCTCTTGTCAAAACGGTATAACAGTAGGAAAACCGAAGGAAAGTTAACGTAGAAAGACGCTAGATGTCGCCACTAGATTCACTTCCTGTGAATTTCAGCAAATATGTTTTATTTTGAAGTCTCATCAGCCCCTTTCCCGCACTTCCTATGTATGGAGTCAACAGAATTGATCAAGAGCACTATACCGAAACTTAGTGTTTGTGAGTCATCTATGACTGCTTTAGCATTTTTAAAATGATGAGTAACATTCTAAGAACAAAATATTCTATACCTTTAATAGTTGCATCCACACTTTTCAAAAATTATGTCCCTTGACCAACCATCTTTGGGGAAAAACCACAGACATTTGGATTGCTTAAATCTGACTTAAAAAAAATTTTTTGTATGTCGGATTAAAGCGATCTAAAGGCATGTGGGAAAAACCCATAGAATATTCACAGTAGCCTTTGTATTTTCTGGTTTGTAACTTTTCATTTGACCGGAAAAAATGTATGTATCTTGTATTATTTTGATTGCCCCAGGATGAGGGTATCCATACATCAAAAAAAATTCATTGTATTTATGGGAACATGCCCAAATGTTCGGTAGCACAGAGAGGAGAAATGTCATTTCTTTCCCTTTTGGTTGACCTGCAAAGGGACACAACTTTTGCAAAAGGTGGATTAGACTATTGCTCTGACTTTGTCTTCTTTCACCGAACAAATGAACAACTATTTGTGTACTTACAATGGAATGTTTAAAGATTTTTTAGTTAAGTACCTAGGACATAATCAAGTATCATTCACTGATTTTTTTTTTTGTTTTAGTATTATATGGATGCAGTTTTAAAGTTGAAATAAGATTTGTGCATGTATAAAATGAAAGTTTTTAATCATTTTGTGTTTGTGATTTCATTTTTCCCATTGTCATTTTTGCTGTTAAGCTTATGTCAGTGTCACTTGATGCCTTTAATATTGAAAGCTGCTATTTGTGATATTGAAATCCAGATTTTTGTGTATATTAGTATATGAGTGCCATTAACTATGAAGTCGTTACCGGTTCTATAATAAATATTGTTATTTTAACTTAACCTTTAGAATAATTGTCTTAAATGAAAACAAAAGAGGCTTCATATTTAACCCAGTTTTCTCTAAGTGTTTGAGATTTATGCCAAGTTTGTTTGTACATGCAAGTTTGTAATCTGAGTAAGAGATCAACCTAAGAAGTAAATTTTTTTACTGATATTTCTTAGGCTGAAATGATATTGTTGAAAGTTTATTTAGTAATTTGCTTTAGAAGATCCTTCATAAATGCAGTAAAACTTTTCAATATACGAAAAGGTAATATAGTTTATATTCTTGCTAACAGTCTCTTTTTCTTTAATATTTAACAGGTGATAACCAACCCTCATGTGTTATATATTTCTTGTATTTACAAAGAATACTGGAGCCTACAAAATACAGTCAATTATTAGCAACATAAAACTAGTATCTTAGATTTGATTTTTATACTAAGCATATTTTTTTTCTATTGTACTAGTGATGAGTAACTGAGAGATTAGGTTATATGTAGTAATTTCTTATGAAACCTCAGACAATCACTGTTAATCAGTATCTTTAATGATCAAGAATAATTTCTTTTTATGTAACATTGTAATTATTATGCAATGTCATTATTGATATTTCATATTCTATATACATTTACTAATGAATTCCAATAAGAGTATTCTTTTAGTAGTTCAGGAGCTTAGCTTATCAAAGAATTTGTGAATGCTTTAGAGTATTATTTGGAAGTTCATTTTCTTTTATTTCATTTTGTGCAATAAACAATGTAAAACAACAATCAGGTGGGATTTTTTTAGCAGTTGATTAGCAATATTTGCTAACGTAAGATTTGGGTTTTGAATAACACAAAGAAATTGGTTCCTTAAAAGTGATTTTGTTTCATACTGTTGGTACTTGCCGCTAGGTATCTGAAATTTGTTTGACATAAATCCAAAATGAAAACGAAATTGAACAATCTGTTGAAATAATAGTGCATCTGTTTCAAAATAGCGAGTATTATTATACCAGCCATATGTGCTTGTGTCATGTTTCAGGAGTATGTCTATATAATTATTCTCACATTGATGTAGTTTCTTTGATACAGAAGTTATTTTCTAAATGACTAATGGATACAAATATAATATCTTTAATTTGCCAAAGAATATGTTAAACTTAATTTTTTTCCCTATGTATGTGTTGTATGCTAGTTTTGTTTTCTGAAGTATAGGATACTGATGCTTTGAAGGAAAATTTTAAAGTTAACACTTTTATTGATTTCCAGTTTCAATTATTATATTTTTCTTTCCTTTGTTTGATATTAAAAGACAATATTGCCACAATTACAGTGTAATTTATGTGTTTGCCATATAAGCATGGTTAATCAAAGGAATTCTATAGAGCTTTCTTTAAAGATAGAAAATACATTACTTCAGTTTTGGATTTAAACTATTTGCATGACATATTACCAAGGGAATTCAGTATTGTACTGAAGGAAGAATCTGCACTGATTGAAATTTGACTCAACACAAACTTAACTCCTTTAAATGCTCAACATATCTATATATTTTTAGCTCACTTAAGCCAAAGGCACAAGTGAGCTTTTCTGATCAAAATTTATACGTTGCCATTGTCTTTGTCATAAACTTCTTACAATTTCATTTTCTTCTACAGAGCCACTGGGCCAACTTCAACCGAACATGGCACATGGTATCCTTGGGTAAAGGGCATTTAGGGTTATTCAAATTGAAGGGCCACACCCTCTTCCAAGGGGAGATAATAAAGGAATAGTTAAAATTGTGTGGGGTCATTTAAAATCTTCTTCTCAAGAACAACTGGGTCAGAAAAGATGAAACACGTGAAAGCTTTCTAACATAGTGTAGAGTCAAGTATATTCAAATCATGACATCCAGGGGATAGGGTGGGACCACAATTACAAGATACATATTACACTGTAGATATAATGAGAGGATTTTCTGATTTCTGTAAGTTTTTATTAAAATTATTCTTTTTCATCCAAGCCTTACTCCATGGCTTAAGTAAAATATTCTTTAAAAATTATCTTTATATCTGGATAAGTATTGTTAAAACATAACTAGATTAAGAGTGTCATCTTTCTGATTGTCATTAATATGTTATTATCAATTTTTTTTTTTACTGGATCATAGGATTATAAAACAGTGGAGAGTTTGCAGTAATACTGGAATCAGTACAATTTTTTTTTTGTCAATTCGACTCAAGGCTCGAATACATCAATTCAAAATACATTTTTAACCCTTTAAATCCGGGGGGGGGGGGGTCCGACCCCCCAACCCCATGATCTGCGCATGCTCTTCTTTTTTCCTTAAGCGGGGGACACAAGTTCTCTGAATTAGCTTGTATTTTTTAAATGATAAACAAACAGTTAAATTTAAAATAAAACAAGAGCTAATAAAATCTGCAAACTGTGTTCCTTTATTAGTCTTCCTGTTTTTATATTCATAAGAAGCAAAATTTATTCAAAAACATCTATACACGAGAAGACAAAACTCTTGCTGTGGCCTTCAACTCAATATTTAGATATATCGACGACGTTTTATCAATTAACAATAGTTACCTTGATTCTTATGTCGACTCGATATATCCTTGTGAACTCGAAATAAAAGACACCAATGAGTCTGCCACATCTGTTTTATATTTAGATGTTTTAGTGACCATAGACGATAGTGTACAACTAATAATACATGTAGTATGACAAACGGGATGACTTCAGTTTTTCCATGGTCAACTTCCCTTATTTATGTAGTGACATTCCAACATCACGTGCATATGGTATTGAATACGTCTCCCAACGGATTCGATATGCAAGAGCATGCTCTAAGTACGAGCAATTTTTAATCCGAAGCAAGTTACTGAAAATTAAGTTGATGTTACAAGGATTTCGACAACCTTCTTTAAAGCCAGCTTTTCACAAATTTTAGGTTGTTGTATTGACCTTGTTTGTAAATACATGTACAACCCATCGTTGGGTTGTATTTTTTCTGTGTTTCATACCATTTGTCAGGGCATAGCTTTTATATTTTTATGCCCCCATATCGAAGATTCGGGGGTATATAGTTTTCGCCTTGTCCGTCCGTCTGTCTGTTTGTCCGCAGAAACTTTAACCTTACCCATAACTTTTGATTGGTTAGAGCTATGGCTTTCATATTTCACATGTGTATTTCTTGTGACAAGACTTTTCTTTGAGTACCACCATATTTGACCTTGGAGTTTGACCCAGTTTTGAAAAATTTTACCGAACATTAACCTTGGCCATAACTTATGAACAATTGGTGCTAGGGCTTTCATACTTCACATGTGTAATCCCTGTGACAAGATCTTCCTTCGGATACCAACAACTTTGACCTTTTGACCTTGACGTAGGAGTTTGACCTAATTTTGAAAAACTTTAACCTTGGCCATAACTTATGAACGTTTGGTGCTAGGACTTTCGTACTTCACATATATAATCCTTATGATAAGACCTTTCTTTGGATACCAACAACTTTGACCCTTTGACCTTGACCTTGGAGTTTGACCTACTTTTCGAAAACTTTAACCTTGGCCATAACTTTTGAACCGTTGGTGCTAGGGCTTTCATACTTCACATATGTGGCTTTCATACTTCACATATGTAATTCTTGTGACGAGACCTTTCTTTGGATACCAACAACTTTGACCTTGACCTTGGAGTTTGGCCTACTTTGCGAAAACTTTAACCTTGGCCATTACTTTTGAACGGCCGGCTGTAGGGCTTTCATACTTCACATATGTAAACCTTGTGATCCTTTGGATACCATCAATTGTAATCCATTGACCTTGACCTTGGAGTTTGACCTACTTTTGAAAAACTTTAACCTTGGTCATAACTTTTGAACGATTGGTGCTTCGGCTTTCATATTTCACCTGTGTATCTCTTGTGAGAAGGCCTTTCCTTGGGCACCATTAATTTTGACCTTGACCTTGATGTTTGACATACTTTTGAAAAATCTTTAACCTTTTCCATATCTATTCAATGGTTGCTGCTAGGGCTTTCATATTTCACAGATATATTCCTCGAGACAAAACCTTACTCTGGGTACCAACATATTTGATTTGCATTTGAGAAAGTTTGACCTTTGCTATAAGTTGCCATACCGGGGCGTCAGTGTTACACAAACACATCTTTTTGATTACGGATTACTCCGTCTACCTGATCAATAAATAGGCTCACGGCGGGTGTGGATGCTTATTACTCCTCCTAGGCACCTGGTCCCATCTCTTGTTTTTCCAGGGGTCCGTGCTTTTGCCCTTTCGCGATTCTTTTTGTTTACTGGATTTATGAGATTGATCACTGCGTGGTCGTTATCTTCACCTTTTACAGCAAGGACCTTCTAAAACACGATAAAAACAGGTGACATTAAATCTCTCGTAACAAGCATTATTGTGAAAGAATTACCAGAAGAAAACAAAAAAGAAGCAGAAAAGAAATACCTTATATAGAAAAAAAACTGACTGACGGCATAAAAAAAACTAATGCTTGACAATGAAACGCTTAGGGGAATAAATGAGTCCATCCTTAAAAAGTTGTTTGTTTGGAATTGTCACCTGGGGGGGGGGGGGTTCAGACCCAGGAGGGAGGGAGGAAATTTTTTTTTTTCAAAATTAAAGTTAAATTAAAAACTGTTGACAAAAATCTTAAGAAGCAATGAACACATTGTTTTGCTGACTTTTTGTTAAAGGTATTACCTATCAATCAAGAACCCAGTTTTTGCCTAGACCCCATACTAATTAAGGAGGTTCGATCCTGAACTTTTGAACAGATTTTGGTCTAGACCTTTATTTCTAAAATTCTGCATCATTTATAAGTTCTATCATTAAATCTGGATTCTACAATGTAAATTAAACTATATCCAAAGAAAAAACCGCGTTTAAATTCCATTCAAATAGGATTAAGCCAGGAACTATATTTTGTGGCGGAAGGTTTTTTAGAAGAAAATGATCAATTTTTCCCTTTTGAAATATATACAGTACTGTTAAGTTTAGATTCCTATTTTTCCATGCTGGTTGTAAACAGAGCTGTTTTTTGCAGTGAAATGTTTTATGCTGGTTCTGAAATATCTATTAAATTATTTCTTATGAATTCTTTCATTATATTGTGACAAATATAGTAAATATATTCTGAAAGTCCAGGAAAAAATTGAGCCAATTTTAATGTAAAATTAACACTTTTTTAGTAATATCTAAAAATTTAGATCATAGACCCCCACTTTTGTTTTTCTTTTCTGAATATATAAGATAACTTTGATCAATCTGCTTAAATTCAGCAAAAGTTTAAGACTTTTAAATAATGTTCTTGCTGGTTAAATTTTTAATGCCAGAAAAATCACATTTTGTGAGAGCAGAAAAGTCAAATAATTGATTTTGCGAAGCAATTTGAAACTTTTTCTTAGTCACAACTTTAATGTGTCTTTTTTTAAATAGACTAATATTTTATTTTGTCCCATAATTTATTTGGATAAAAACTTTGGAGGGAAAATGTCGAAGATGTGATTTTTTGATTAAGACAAAAATTTCAGTGCAAAAAGGTCATATTAAATGTACTGTAGCGCCAAAAGAAGCATATTGACCCTCATTTTTTGTTTTGATTTTTAATTAAGCTATGTGTGTAGAAACTAAAAATATACTTCCCCAAAAAAGTTTAAGACTTTAAATATCAGGATCCAACCTCGTTAAGTATTTGGGTGACACATGTGATCAGGCCAAGAATTGGTTAAATTAAAAAAAAATATATCTTAGCTTTGGCCAATAATTTTTTTTTTCAGGAGGGGTCATTTCAATGAGGTGGGAGGCAATTCGAAACAAACAATAATTTTATTTTGGCCTGAGCGAAAAAAAAAACGGAAAAGCTATTGAGTTGGAAATTAAGGTAATACAGGCAGAAGAAGTGACCTCTCCTTCAACTGTAAAAGCAAATTACAATGAACAATACAGTCGTAAAACAGTATGAAAATCTGTGGAGTCAAAGAAAATAAAAACGAGACTACTTAGCAGATTGCAAAGGAAACATTTAAAATAAAAAAACAAGGGAAATGTGGACATCGACGAAAATGATATTATCGCATTCAAAGGAAAGAAAATGCTCCAATCTAGCTGACTATCTGAAAAAAAATTTAAAAGCACACATCATGCGCTAGGCCTGTAGGCAGCAATTTCAGTTGGGGGGGGGGGGCACAACCACACAGGAGGGGGTACTATGTACATGTACCAAGTAAGTTCCTTGACAAGCAAAAATAAAGGGGGGTCATCAGACGTTATTATTGAGGGGACACATAAAACAGCTGTTTTCTTTTACTACATGTATATATCGATCCCCCCCCCCTTTTCTACAGCCAAGTGCGCCACTGGCCGTCAAGGAGCCGGAGGGTTAGGGAACGATGTGAATGACTAAAGAAAATCGCAAACTGATCACAAAACTGATAGAACATCCAAAGTTTTTTTTTACTTTACTGTAGACATAGGCACTTGGGGGATGGACCCCCTCCCCCTTTTTCCATTTTTTTCTTTTTAAATCTTAAATCCGGAAGCTAAGGGTGTCCTATATTTTCTCGTAAAAACCAAAATGGCGCCGGTGTAGTTCTAACCCCACCGTAACTCAATATGTTCGAAAATTTTAAATCATGTAAAATAAATAAGATTGTACATGGCAATGAAACTCAGATTTATTTTTTGAGTCGAAAGTCAAAAGCAATGGTGAGTTTTGGATCGCCGAAGTTGAAATAATATGAAAAAAAATACGCACGGAAACAAGTCCGGGGGAAGACTTTTGTGCATCTTATTCGTAAACGGTAAGAGTCCTGATTCTCAAGATACATACATGTATTTGGAAAACTGCATTGTTACACTACAGTTTTATATAGAATATCTTTTATTTAATATAGTGGAGAGCTATATAAAAGACCGAAAATCCAGCTATATGATATAAATAAAAATCATTTATGAACGCCTAAGATAACATTACCGTGCTTATTAACCAAGCAAAAAAAAAATGAAATATGGAATTGCTGATTTACCGTATCATTCTTACAGTCTTACTCTACCTCCATGCAAATTTTCTTTGAAAGGAGTCTTTTCAAATGCCCCTCGTATGTTATCGATTATGTAATCCTTTTGTTTCAATATGCTGTTTTTAAATTTATCATTTTCGACTGATACATAAAAAGAGAGTCTCTTATAGTGCATATTAGAATACAAAAATCCATCCCCCCAGTGCCCGTAACTTATGAAGTCTGACAGTGAAATACCGGAATTCACACGACTAATCGTCATGGATTCTTCAATTATAACAATAGCCACGTTTCCGATTATCATTATCGAGAAAAGCAGTTACTCGACTCGAGACTACTTGACTTTCGAAAGTAACTTTTATTTGTACACAACTACTCTATTTCATTTTCTCACACATTCAATCATTAATTTCTCTTTTTCTTTGTCCCTTTTTCTTGAATATTCAAGCAATGCTGTCTGTTTCCTATTCTCTTTAGAGAAGTGGACAGGCTTTCGCCTACAGTGGAACCACTGGCCCAATTTCAACCAAACTTGCCACAAAGTATCCTTGGGTGAAGGGGATTTATGTTTGTTCAAATGAAGGGCCACGCCCTCTTTCAAGGGGAGATAATTAGGAATTAGTGAAAAAATAATGGCATCATTTAAAAATCTTCTCAAGAACCATAGGGCCAGGAAAGATGAAATTCATGTGAAAGCATCCTCAGGTAGTGTAGATTCAAATTTGTTCAAATCGCGACCACTGGGGGTAGGGCAGGGCCACAATGGAGGATCAAAGTTTTACATAGAAATATATAGGAAAAATCTTTAAAAATCTTCTCAAGAACAGCAAAGTGATGATGAGTCATATTTATATGGAAGCATCCTCAGGTAGTGCTGATTCAAATTTGTTCAAATCATAACCCCCGGGGGTAGGGTGGGGCCACAATGGAGGATCAAAGTTTTACATAGAAATATATAGGAAAAATCTTTTAAAATCTTCTTCTCAAGAACAGCAAAGCCATGATGAATCATATTTATATGGAAGCATCCTCAGGTAGTGTAGATTCAAGTTTGTTCAAATCATGACCCCCGGGGATAGGGCGCGTCCACAATGGACTATCAAAGTTTTACATAGAAATATATAGGAAAAATCTTCTTCTCAGGAACAGCAAACAGGGGTAGAGAAATAGAATTTTTCAGTACTTGCCCTCGGACAGGTTACCATCGTAAAATTACTTGTCCTACCAAAAAATATGCTTGTCCCACTTTTTCTTAATTAACATAAAATTAAAGCATTATCGTTAAACATTAAATTATTTCTCAACTGGTACACTACATGGGGACCAAACTAGACATAAAATCACTTAATTTTTTGCACGGAAAAATTTAGGGGTAAGTCTTGTTCCAGGGAGATTTCTTAGCTTGTGCAGTGCGCATAATTTAAACTTTTCTCTGTATTACTTTAACATCCCAAAAATACTGAAAGATAGAAAAAATTTTTTTTTTGAATATTATAAAGTATTTGATTATGAAAACCACCACTGCATGTCGATTGTGACTTTCAGTGATCGCCAATCAATAGCTCCAATTTTAATATCAGTATAACACGTTTGTACTCACGGCATGAATTTTTACATTATTTTTTACAATACCTAAAAAGGTCTAAAATCCTCTTCAACTTTTTTGACATGGAATCGATAGCTGCTATGTTTTACGTCCTGTGTGTATTTTAACTACACATAAATGGGTAAATTCTAGAGGAGTTCCGACCGAGTATTCGATGTAGTAATGAACAGCAGCGAAAAACATGTGCTCTACTGTGATTCATTACATTTCAACAGCGATAAAACAAACAACATTTGATTTTTTGTTAACTGGAGAAGCACTTGTCCGCGGGCAGGTACCACTTATCAAATAACTTGCCTGCCAAACAAAATTGGTTGTCCCGGGCGTCGGGCAATGCTATTTGTCTAGCCCTGAGCAAAGCTCAGATTGGTCATATTTATAATGAAGCATCCTCAGGTAGTGTAGATACAAATTTATTCAAATCATGACCCCCCTGGGGTAGGGTGGGGCCACAATGGAGGATCAAAGTTTTACATAGAAATGTATAGGACAAATTTTAAAAATCTTCTTCTCAGGAACAGCAAAGCCCTGATTGATCATATTTATGTGGAAGCATCCTCAGGTAGTGTAGATTCTATTTTGTTCAAATCATGACCCCCCATGGGTAGGGTGGGGCCACAATGGAGGATCAAAGTCTTAAATGGAAATTTATAGGAAAATATCTTCTGAAGAACTGCAAACCATGATTAGTCATTTTGATATGGAAGCATCCTCAGATAGTGTAGATTCAATTTTGTTCAAATGATGACCCCCAGGGGTAGGGTGGGGCCCAAAGGGGGATCAAAAGTTTTACATAAGAACATATAGAAAAAAAATTTCTTCTCTAGAACAGATAAGCTATGTTCAGTCATATTGATATGGAAGCATCCTCAGGTAGTGTAGATTCAAGTTTGTTCAAATGATGACCCCTGGGATGGGGAGGAGCCACAATTGGGGATCAAATTTTTACAAAGGAATATATGGGAATTTTTTTTTTAAATCTTCTCAAGTACAACAAAGCTATTTGTTATATTGACATGGAAGCATCATCAGGTAGTTTAGAATTCAACCCCCCCCCTCCCCCCCCCCTTCGTAATCTTTTCAATACTGAACTGATTTGTGCTTTTGCCTAGCCAATGTGCTCAGGTGAGCGATGTGGCCCATGGGCCTCTTTATATATATATATATATATATATATATATATATATATATATATATATATATATATACATATACATATATATATATATATATATATATATATATATATATATATATATATATATATATATCAGTTTGTCGATTTTCCAGTTTGTCAAACTCCTGAAGATTGAAAATGAAGCCGGTAGAGTTTTATTTTGGTGTTTTATATATAAATATATATATATAGAGAGAGAGAGAGGGGACACATGGCCGTAGGAACCGGGGGGGGGGGCACGGGGGGCCGTGCCCCCATACCCAATAATTTTGCCGATATATAGATTACTATAGAAAACATAGCTACTATATACTTGTGCCCCCTCAATAAAAACGTCTGATGCCCTTTTTTAATTTCTTTCTCTCTCTCTCTTTTTTTTTTTTTTTTTTGCTTGTCAAGGAATTTTTGGTAGTTGATAGTGCCCCCTCAACTGAAAATATGAAAATATATGGCTGTGCCCCCCCCCCCTCCCTCCCAACCGAAATTGCTTCCTACGGGCCTGGGACACTTTACATCAAAAAACAAGCACGCTTTGCATCAAATTACTCTGCTACTAGAAAGTTGTTATAATTGAAAAAAAATCCTGATAACAACGACACGAATTATGACCCAGGCTACCCCCAGGGGATTAGATATTATATCCTCAATTCATAATTAACACCCAGCTAGTATTTTACGCTGAATCTCTTCTTCTTTTTTGTTGGTTAATTTGTGGTGTCTTTATTCACTTTGATTAAAGTTTTTTGTTGTGACCTCACACGTGAGAGTCTGTGGCATTACGGGTGAAAATATAGGACATTGATAGCTATTGAGGACATCAGAATGTTATAAATACTAAAGCATCCTCTTGATTCATTACTTGATTGTTTTTAAAGGAATTTAACAATGCCGACGGAAAAGGCTTTCTCTGCAGGTGAGTAGGAAGAGAATGTTGAAAGGTTATTATGATGAGAAAACGAAGAGAGGACCGAGTGTAATATTTTGTAATCAAAACGGAGTGGTCTCCTTACTGTTGTCAATGTTTCGTAAACACATTTTTCTAATACCTTTCTGAATCACTTCTAGGGTGTTATTTGTTAATTTTTGTATCGAATTTAATGTCTGACGTTAAAAAAAAATCTAAAATCACGGAGCCATCCTTGATCATTAATTTTACGCCCCCGAAAATGGAATGTAAATTGTTGCATAATTGTTGCATATTATATTGACAGGATCTGACGTTCCTGAGCTGGAAATTGGGAAACTCCGAGTTTACAGCATGAGATTTTGTCCTTATGCAGAACGAACACTCTTGGTATTAACTCACAAAAACATTCCGTATGTTTTTATTTATTACATGTACATGTATATATGAAAACATTATAAAACCAAAATAATAAGAAACCATGAAAATATCCTGTAATTTGAATATCCTTCAAGTATTTATCTCGTATTATGTCTATGAAGACATCGCTGAACAAACAAGAAATCTCAAGCACTATATAGGAATCTCCCAATTAAAAAATGGAGGAGCTACATTACTGCAGCTAATCATTACCCAAGTCTTTTGTAAGAATTGTCTTTCTTATTCTGATTCATTACAAGGAACTCTTCATACACTTAATGAATTTTAATTTAAGGCAAATTTACATGCGACGTACATGCACTGTGTCTTGTAATTTTACCATTTTTTATCACTTTCAGACACGAGGTGGTCAACATAAACCTGAAAAGTAAACCAGATTGGTTTCTACAGAAGAATCCTATCGGCAAAGTGCCCGTTCTGGAACAAGATGACAAAATCGTGTACGAGTCCCTCATCTGTTGTGACTACCTTGACCAGGTGTATCCCCAAAACAAACTGACCCCTGAGGACCCTTACCGCCAGGCTCGCGATAAAATGCTCATAGAACATTTCAGCCAGGTAAATATAATTTTCCTCAAAGTGTAAAATATCTGTATGTTTCCACAGGTACTCATGAACAGGATTCCCCCCCCCCCCCAAAAAAAAAATTGCTTTCTCGATGTAATTTTCTTTTTAATCTCTGACAACTTCATCAATAACTTTAAAAAAAATCACAGAATCTTTATGATTCAGATGCAATTTCTCTTCACAGTTCTTTTGAATAGATGAAGTGCCCCTATGGAATGTTGTTAGATGATGTGTCCCTTTGTGGGATGTTGTTACATGAAGTGCCCCTGTATGGGATGTTGTTACATGAAGTGCCTCTGTATGGGATGTTGTTACATGAAGTGCCCCTGTATGGAATGTTGTTAGATGATGTGTCCCTTTGTGGGATGTTGTTAGATGAAGTGCCCTTGTATGGGATGTTGTTAGATGAAGTGCCCCTGTATGGGATGTTGTTAGATGAAATGCCCCTGAATGGGATGTTGTTACATGAAGTGCCCCGGTATGGGATGTTGTTAGATGATGTGTCCCTTTGTGGGATGTTGTTAGATGACGTGCCCCAGTATCGGATGTTGTGAGATGATGTGTCCCTTTGTGGGATGTTGTTAGATGAAGTGCTCCTGTATGGGATGTTAGATGAAGTGCCCCTTTATGGGATGTTGTTAGATAAAGTGCCCCTGTATGGGATGTTGTTAGATAAAGTGCCCCTTTATGGGATGTTGGTAGATAAAGTGTCCCTTTGTGGGATGTTGTTAGATGACGTGCCCCTGTATGGGATGTTGTTAGATAAAGTGCCCCTTTATGGGATGTTGTTAGATAAAGTGCCCCTTTATGGGATGTTGTTAGATAAAGTGCCCCTTTATGGGATGTTGGTAGATAAAGTGCCCTGTATGGGAAGTAATAAGTTAACATAAAAGTGATTGCTCTGACAATTAACAATCAAAAATAATTTTTAACTTTTTATTCAGTATTGGTTATTGTGTGTGGGCTTTTTTTCATCATTTAGATAATATTTCAGAGAAATAGTTACAGTGAATATAGAATGTAGTGTTTAATGTCCTGTATTTCTTTTTACACAGCTGACGACAGATTTCTATAAAACTCTACAAGCGCCTCCAGAAGAGAAACCGGCTGGACTGAAAAAGATTCTCGATCAGTTGTCAAGATTCGAAACTGAAATAGAGAAGAGAGGGGATTTCTTTGGAGGCGTGTTTTCCCTACATTTATTTAAATTCAGTTAAATAGATAAATAAAATAATAATGATAAATCATAGTATTGATAATTAATTCACATTTCATTACTTGACCAAAAATAGGACGAGGTATATCTGCGTTACACTGGTATCACGTTCTGCATGTAATACGACGGGCTGTATATTCGCCTGCTTATACAACTGTTCCTACCAACTGATAGTTTTATTTCATTTAGTGATGGTTTGTGTATTTTGTAGGTGAGCAAGTGATGATGATAGACTTTATGATTTGGCCCTGGTTTGAACGTTTCTTTATCTTGGAGAAAGTGCTTTCGCAAATGATTGTGACTGGAGAGTCTATGCCAAAATTATATGCATGGACACAGAGAATGTTGGGATGTTCAGCCGTACAGGAATGTCGTCACCCTGAGGAAAGACACTTGGCGTTTTTCCAAAGTTACAAAACTGGCGTTCCAAACTATGACGTAGGTTTGGAGGAATGACATCATTTGAACAAGACAGTAAATAAAAGTCTGATCAATTGAATGTTATGAGCAGAAAAACATGTACGCTATATAAACTTGTATGTTTTATATTATAATTCTTAACAAGCCATGATGTTACATTTGTAATTGCCATACACAAGTACTTGTGAAAATGCCGTTGTAAAAAAAAAAGTCAGATGAGTTTTTCATTAAATAAATGCATTTCTTCACGGAGGAAGATAACTGAGGCACTGTATATATATATATATATATATATATATATATATATATATATATATATATATATATATATATATATATAAAAGGAGAATGAAATCTATAGTTAACGCTGTCAAAGTGAGTGAAGAAAAGTTGTTTTCCTTCAGTGCTTTTAATCACAACGAGGGACAAGGGGTCTGTTCACCATGGGATACAATATATGTCCCTGCGTGTGTCCAAACCAATTCGCTGCACTCATTAGCAGGTCGGGTACACTTTTATGGAAGACATTTTTCGTCAGGTGACGATCTTTTCGTCAAACCCATTCTCCAATCAATGGAATGGGTCGCAATGCGCCTTTATTATTTAACAGCTACATACTTTCGTTATTGCCTGACGCCACGTGCGTCAGGCAGTATAAGGATTAATATTTCCAAGATCCGAAACTAAGCGATCATTCTTAATGAACTAGATTTTGTGCAAGCTGATTTACAACGGAATTTGTTACCTGTATTTAAAGAAAAACAGTTTGAGAAGAAGGAATCATATTACTGATGCAAATTAATGATGTGTTTAATTCCTTCAGTTTTTTGCATGCACATGTTTATTCTTTGCAATTCTTTGTATGGACATGTCCGTGTGACATTTTTTCTGCGTTTCTAAACTACTGGATCAGTCCATTTGCCTTCTACGAAAGGGGTGACACAATCATTTCGCGCCAAATGTCACATGTGAATAATCTTCGCGCCTTTTTCTTGGATTGTTCTATTGAATGGGTGTGATAACTTCTATGGAAATAAATAACGTTTATTCTTTTAACCCGATTCTTATGCTTCAGATTTTTTATTAACAGTAAATTTTATTTTATTTTTTAACAGAACACATTGTATATGGGCAGGCAACACAGAAGCAATGGATTTGCTGATTATTCTTACTATTTATCCTATAAATGGACTAGTCCAATCATAAACAAACTCCCTCCACCTAGTAAATGGGACATCCCTTCTTGATTCAGTCTCTTTCAAAATTACATTTATTAATAATGTGTGTTTCAAGGTTAGGCTTTTTAAAAAAAGCTTAGAAAGTCAGCCAGTAGCATATTATTTCATGCTTTGTAATGAACAAGGGTCTCCTTTTAATAAGAGAGTAGGTCGGTACCCGTACAGGAATGGGCTTCATTCCCGTAAGGTTCTAAGTAAAGAATCGGCAAAATGAAGAAGACATCATGATCTGTACTGGTTTTCATTTCATAAAAAGGCACGTTATTATAAATTATGAGAAAGGTCCTGAAATCGATTAAAAAGAAAAACTAAACAATTTTTAAAACTGTACATAAAGATGTATTTTAAAGTCATTTATAATACATGCATACGGTAAGCATGGTCAGACCATCATAAAGTGAGTTTTTTTCCGGAAGGGGGGGTATTTATTTAGTATCTTGTTTTGCTCTAGCTATAAACTGTACAGGCCATTTACTTTGAGTTCTAGAGCAGCATTGAAGCATTTTTGTCTCAAACACTTCAAGACAACTTTCACAGTTAAAAGTGTTCATAATTTACTTCGTCGTCGATCGAGAACGACGGAAAACTATCACTGACGAGAGTGTGCATAAAGAACCGCGCCCTCTGGTAAGAGAGTACATGTGATATGAATTTCTTTATAACGAATCATCTATTTTTCCCAGAATTATAATCTACGCTAGTGCACTTGCAGTTTCATCCCAACGTAACTAGACAGCCCGTGGGCTAACTAAAAAAGGACCAAATAGTGGCATGTCTTAGATATTCGTTAATCTGTAGTATTTGGTTATGACATTTGAGAAAGTCAATTCAGGCTCGTAGGAAGCAGTTTCACTTTGAGGGGACACAACCATACATTTTCAGTTGGGGGGGGGGGGACACTATGAACCTATGAACTACCAAAATTCCTTGACAAGCAAAAAAAAAGTCATCAGACATTATTATTGAAGGGGCACAAGCATATAGCAGCTATGCTTTCTATAGTATTCTATATATCGGCAAAATTATTGGGGGGGGGGGCGGCTCCCCCATGCCCCCTCCCCCGGTTCCTACGGCAATGCAATTGTACATCTTGTGTAATGAAGTATCGCAACTATGTCGCTCCTTGATGACGGAAACATTTAGCACCTCTCTCGCTTATACGTTCCATAGATAATGATTGATTAGTCAGGCAAGCTTTTTGAAAAGCTATTACTTGTAGTGCATATAATGTTTACTTGGTCACCGGGAAACTGTATAGCTTCTTTTTCACTTTATATGACTGAAATTGACAATGACTCATGTTCACATTAAATATTGGAGTTCTTTAAGTTTTAGATGATTAATAGTTGCGTCAAATACCGCCTAAGCATACATTAAATACATTTTGAAGATAATAAAGAGTAAAACAAAAATTGCACACTGGTGTACTGATGGTAAGATCAAAGAAAAATATCATATACAAGATATTAATTTTGACAAAAGCATGAAAAATATACATGTATGTAGATGCACAAATGCACTAAAAGACAGAAAAATACGCTTTTGTTGTTTGTCAACAAAAATCATCCAGATTTTTTCATTACTTCACGCCTAGTAGCTCATGGATTCTGGAGATTTTGTAGGGTAAGAATGAGGTCTACCGAGTAGACAGTTTACATTTTCTCGACGAAACCATGATTTACGCTAACTTTTACAGTTTGGGGGGGGGGGGTGCACCCCCCCCCCCTTAAATCTGCCACTGAATACTATTACTAAGAAAAAGGCTTCATATTCTAAGCACGCTGTAAACTGTAAAAATACATCAAGGCGCATTCTGTCAGTCGCGATGTTTTCTTTGCCACTTGAGAAAAACATACTCACTGCTTGTTCTACATAATAGCACCCACCTCTCTTTAAACAAATCGAATACTAATACTAAGTAGTTTATTTGAACAGGTTCATATAAGCTTGATAAAGCAAATTTTTGTAAATGAAAGATTATACACCATTTTCAACATCTATATGTATTTCATAAATGTCGAAAAAGAAATTAGTTTCCAAGAAACGATTAAAATTGCTGTTCATTTTGAATACTCGCAGAGAAATTTCTGTGTTGATACTAAAACTTGTAGAAGCCCATAATGCATTGGAACTCATTCGGCTAATAAACAGTTAGCTAATTTTACAAATAAATTTTAAAAATTTTGAATCTTCTTTAAATACACTTAAAAATTGTTAAAATAGAGATTCTGACACTTTCAGTCAAGAAAAACCACATTTAAAAAAAGACGTACAACACCTATATAGAATTTATGTATATAGGTGTGGTACGTCTTTTTTAAACTCTTTTTTAACAACTTTTAAGTGTATTTAAAGAAGATTCAAAATTTTTAAAATTTATTTTACATTTAACAATCCGGAAGACAAGCCCCTATGCTCTAGAGGAATACATCATGGCCCTGTGCCTATGGATTGCAGGGTCAAAGTTCAAAGGTATTCGATATTTACAGACTTCAAGCACCGCTACTTAATTCAACCATTATTCAGAAATGTCAGATGACAATATAAAATGACAAATATTAGGTAGAAGACCGTTATTACATGTATCTAGCGTAACTGATATGATCACCATTAGATCAATTCATAATGTGAAAAAAAAAACTGATTGTATGTTGTTTTTCGTCCATTTCGAGAATTTTTCACTCATATAGAGACGTCACCTTATAGCGATGATGGGCTATAATTTTAGACCAGAGCCATTAAGCAGTGAGGGACCGGTGTGACGGTAGGCGTTGGTATGATAAAGAACCCCCACTGTCCAAAGGTCGCGAGTTCCGAGTAGAGGTATATTGAATAGTCATAATTCTTCTGAGAGGTACAAGTTTACTCCAGAAAAGTTTAAGATACTCCTGATGAAGCCTGAAGGTCGCCGAAAATTCGGAGAGAATTAGTAAACCATATATACATGTATACGAGGAAAAACTTAATAATCAAAATAAATCTACGTTGCATGTTATACCTGGTGATGTTATTGTCAGGAAATAATGCTTTTAAGGATACATAACACAAACAGAAATTTGATGCACGGATTGATATATATATATATATATATATATATATATATATATATATATATATATATATATATATATATATATATATATATATATATATATTGACTGATTTTGATTAGAAATTACATAAATAATAAATCCCTAAAATATAAAGAAAGTAAGTTTTCCTTGGTGCTTAGATATGTGACTTTTTGTAGCTTTCTATATATTTCTATACAAAATTTTTCACAACTTTTTAACCTTATGACAAAATCTTACAAAATTTTTCCACTTTACCTGGCAAACATTATTCAGGTTACCAATTTAAATATAAATCTATGAGAAATATTGATGATTTCTGAAAAAAAAAAAGTTTGTGTTATTTATATCCTTAATGGAAATTGGGTGATGGGTCATGGGAAGGAGGACGGTAATTTTCAGGGAATTTTTTTTTTGACAAGAAAGCAGAATCTAACGCAAAGAAATCACATTAAGTTCTGAAAGAATATATTCGTGTGAAATTGAATTAAGAGAGAATATTCGTCAAAAGTGATAAAAACCTCTGCAGCATAACGGCTGACGAAACAACTATAAGAATGGAAAATTTCTCAGTTGTCAGTTGTTCGTTATTTGAACAGAGGAATGTTTCATAAATGAAACAGGGGATTTTCTTGGATGGATGGAGCTTGAGCATTCAAACGCAGGGACAATTTAACTGAAAAAATGACTCGAAAGTGAGGATTTGATTTTGAAAGTATGCGGGGACAAAATATTTCGTCAACAGAGATTAAGAGATGATTACCCCGATACAAAGTGTTTTGTACATTATACTTCCGACAGACTAAAACCTTTACATTGTAAACTGCTGCAATGTAGTACCAGTAGAGAGATATCAAATTGAAAACTTACCATGCAGGTTTCGTTGTGGCGTCGGCAAACCAAAACAATATAAAAAGAGAAATTATGAACGAATATGAAAATCTCGACTTTGATGATGCTTTGACGGAGATGCTTTGCTTGAATGCCAAAGACACGAAGTGGCGGATTTAAGGGGGGGGGGGGCGCCCCCTAAAATTGTCAAAGTTAGCATACATCATAGTTTCGTCGACAAAATGTAAAAATGTCTACTCGGTAGACCTCATTTTTACCCTACAAAATCTCTAGAATCCAGGAGCTTAAGGGGGCTTCGAGGCGGCACCCAGACCCCCTGCCTACTTTTGGCGCCCCCTCTGACTTCAATTCCTGGATCCGCGCCTGACACGAGCAATGTATTACAAAACTCGCCTGTCGTAACTTTTCCATCACTTCTGATCAGTAGTAATGCTTTGGAAAGTGAAAGTCGGAATCAAGTTGCCTGGCTGCATATGACTCTTCATCTCAAGAAAGCTCAATGCGATTTGAATTCAGCGTTTCATTTGATCTTCTTCAGTTCGTTCTTTGCAATATTAGGCCTCTAAATAAGACCTTGTTAAGGCACAAGAAGAGATGCAAAATTTGTAATTTGTAGGGGAAATGACAGGTTTCATGTTTTGTACGGAAGGCTTTTGACAATCGCTCAGAAAAATCAGGTTCCTGAATGTCTGCCAACACTCTCTACCATCGGCTCATACATTCACCTCTGTCGTTGGCTCGCGTATATCACAGTGATAAGCAGGAGAAATAGTGCGTTTCTTTTAATTCATTATGATTAAATGTTTGAGCTAATGATAGTCCTTTAAGATCATGGCCGTAGGAACCGGGGGGGGGGGGGGGGCGTGCCCCCCAATAATTTTGCCGATATATAGAGTACTATAGAAAACGTAGATATTATATGTTTGTGCCCCCTCAATAAAAACGTCTGATGCCTTTTTTTTTTGCTTGTCAAGGAATTTTTGGTAGTTGATAGTGCCCCCCCCCCCCCCAACTGAAGATAGATGTTTACTTGAAATAGATCTAATACTATCAGTTTAATTTGAAATAATCCTTGAAATGTTATGTTTTTTTCGTTATGTCAAAAATTTGACGCGAGCCCATTGCAGAGGTGTCTGAGTGATCGAGGAACGAACGACAACTCTGCATAGGAGATTGGTCTGCCAAGAGACATTGATGCAGCTGAAACTATCGAACAGAAGTTTTTAAGGTTGAGTGATTTTTTGCCATTCCTTGATTATGTTATTTCCCATCTGAGGTTCACTCTCAGTCATTGTTTTGGGGCTTCTACTTGGCCCCGTGTTTTCTAGAGAAATTTTACTGATTAAATTGTCGAATGAATCAAAACAGAAACTTGCTATTCCCTTAGACTTAGGAACAGACTAAGTCAAAATTTAAAATCGATATAACTCTCAAAATAATTATGATTATAAATTAAAATTTTCTTCACATGTTTGAATTGAATAGCTCTGCACAATTGCAAATTTTTAAGCTAATACGTTAAGATAGAAAGATGGGTCGTAAAGTGTAAGAGTGTTGGAACATTGGAATTTGAGTCGCTGGAAAGACCACTTTTGTTCTGTCATCATCTTTATCCAAATATCATAATATATTTACACTGTGTATCAATGTGATTCAATTCAGTTTTGCTCCTGCAAGCGATTATTTTAAGTGCTGTGAAGATTTATTAGGTCAACTACATGTACAGCTGTTTTCATCCGTCGTCATGCGATGTACGTTGTGCGTCGGTGGTAACATTTTGAACATTTTCAGCTTCGTCTCATGGGTAAAAGGGTACAAAAATTGTGAAGTGCAAAGCACGAGTGAAAATATCAAAAAATCCTGTCTCACGAGTGAAATAAATTCCATACCCAACTACAAAACATTGAATTTTCTGTTTATTACATTTTCGATCTTTGATTTTTCCCTTTGCCCCTGCCTTTTCTTACCACAGTGTCATAGGCTGTGACATTATAGTTGAGAAGTTGAGAGGTCATAGCTTAGCGGTTATGAGATTGAAAACATTGAAAACATTGTAACATGGATTTTAGCAACATATTTGGGAAGAAATTGGCAGTTTCAGTCTCTGTTTAGTTAGTATCTCTATCTTATTACAGGCCATAAATTATTTTTTACTTACTTTGATATCCTTTCACACTGTGACAGAATATCACTTTGGTATCCTTTCACCCTGTGAGAGAGTAACACTTTTATTCAATAAATAAATCACAGTATTTCACTGTTAAAAATGTAATAAATTTAGGTATGCGAGGTATGCAGAAAATAATCCCCATAAGACTTTAAAAAGTACAATACTGTCTTCAATTAATCATAAAAGTGAAGCAAAGAGAGCAATACTCAGCCGGAGGTCCAGGATTTTTTTCAAGGGGGGGGGGGGGGGGTCCACCCCAGTCAAACAAAATTCTAACCCAAAAATTTCTGGACAAGCAAATTAAAAAAAAATACAAAAAAACTAAATTCCCTTGGTGATGGTGAGGTCCACGTTTTCTAGGGGGTCCAAAGTCATTTTTTATTTGCTTCAGTATATACTTTTTATAACTCTGCACCCCCCCTCCGACCACCCCTCTAAATCCGCGCATGATACTGGAAAACTCGTCATCAACATTCACTTGGAAATGGAATATACCTTTTCTCCAATATTTATGTGTACGTGTATATTGACCATTTTAATCCCCTAGTTTCTCATAATTTGCAAACAAAATATTATTATCTTTCATCCTTATCTTCCTTGGGTATTTATTCATAACGTTCAAACCAATATTTCCATCTCAACTCTATTTCATACATCGTGCATTTCGTTCGATTAAATTTATTCACAAGTCAGAAACTATAACGGGGGAGAATTGTCACAGAGGTCAAAAACTATAACGATCTGTTGAGGGGAGAATAAGTCACAGAGGTCAGAAACTATAACGATCTGTTGAGGGGAAACACAGGACAGATCACATATAAAAGTCTACCTGCGCATCATCAGCTTCAATTAACTTCAGTCATGCCAAATCAAAAGGCTTTTTCCGCAGGTGAGTGAATATATTTAATACAATAGGTATGAAGAAGTTTTATCTATAATCAGTATTTGCTATACGACGGTGTATATTTGCCATTTTAATTTTGCGTTTAAACGCAAAAATTTTGCAATTTAACGCAATAATCCTTCCTTTTAAGGATTTGTTTTGAAACTTCAAAGAACCGTTTGGTTCTGTCTTTTTTGCAAAATTTTCCAGTTTTTGAAAATTGTAGTAAAATAATGGCATCCTAACAACCAGAATATCTGAAACGTATAAGAACCCAGCACTCTTAATGAAGCCTTTGATTAATTGCTTACGTATCACAATTAATTAAGAACGTTTCAGTGGTATTAATAAAAACTTGTCCATTTGATAGTACACATTTATTAATCTGTTTTCATTTGATTTTGATCTCAAATGATTCCATCACCTTTGTTCTTCTGTTTACTATATGCAACCATAGGAAAGGTTGTGATACTTTAAGTCCAAATACTCCTTCATGTTGTACGTAATTCCAACATTTCATTAGTCTTTTCCTGAATCCATTTATATATGGGTTAAACTTTGTGACCGCAACATGGGGTATAGTTTTTTAAAATCATTTTTCTTCTTTAGTCTTTTATTTAGAAGATCCATTCTAATTGTTTGCAGAAACTGTTTCAAAATAGAAAAAAAAATTGAAATAGAAAAGTGATTTGTGATTGTAAGCAACTGACCAAATATTCATTAAGAGTATAGCGATCTAATAAGTTAAAGACACGTCTCGTTCTTAGGTTGCCTTTTTTTTTAACAACCCGACATTTTTTCTCCTCTATAAATTCACATCAGTGATGTATCCTTTCAAAGAGCGTTTGCTCGGAGGAATCTGATTCTATAAAGCTAGACAGTGCACAATTTTCTAATAAGTAAAAAAATATATCAGTATGCGTGGGTCTGTTGTATTCTGCAAGGTTTGCGATTAAATGCAATCTTTTGCGTTTAAAAGGAATGAAAAATAAAAATAATAGATTTCTTTCTCTAAACTGGCCTCAACGGGCTATATATATATATATATATATATATATATATATATATATATATATATATATATATATATATATATATATATATATATATATATATATATATATATATATATTTATATATATATGATATCAGAAACTCTTCTACATGTAGTGTACAATGACAATAACCCTCACTTTTATTTATGTTACTGTCACTAATAAGTTCACTATTGATAACTAAATGATCATGATATGAATATAATCCAAGCTTAAAATGTCCGTTCTAAACCCTATAGGATTACACTATATTGTGAATTAGTGAATTGCATGCTATGTCAGATCCTACTTCCTTTAACGGCAGAGTAAAGGGTTGAGTGAAAAGGGACAGCCTAGCAACTCTATAGATCTTGTTTTATTATAATTTTTTCATTACACTTGTAACTCCTCCTTTTTATCTGAAAATAATCTATATTACTTCATAGAATTTGGGAATATTTTTTAATGGTTCTGAATTTTATCAATTCTTTTTTTACCAGGTTCCAAAGTCCCTACCTTAGAAAATGGCGTTCTTCGAGTGTACAGTATGAGGTTCTGTCCATATGCTCAACGAACACTCTTGGTGTTGGCTCACAAAAATATACCGTATGATTTCTTTTTTACAATGTGTATGCCTTTTTTGTAATATCTGTTTTTAAATTTCCTTACATTTTTATATGGAATAAGGTCGTGCAACACTCGACAATTCAATTTTCTAAACTAATCCAAGATTTAAGAATGTTCAAAATGAAAAAAAAAAAACCAGTTACTCTCTATATTTTGAAATTTTATGTAAAAGTCTGAAAACATTTAGAATTTGTAAATTTTAGATTTTTGTAACGCAAATTTTAAAAACATGTCGTGTGTTTTCGAATTTGATACATGGATTTAAATAAAAACATTCTATAACTCTTATTCATTGTAGAAATTATGCGATGATTTTGTTATATGATACATGTATATATCTTTTAGAACACAGAGTTGTCTTTCATACACCTGGTCGTGATGAATTTTTCAAATATTTATTAATGACAACAGATACATCTCGATTTAGAAAAACACTTGGAAACCAAATGTAAACGTACTTTATATACTTGGACATCATTTAGGCGATTAAAATAATAATTATAACATCATATTTCACCCCAAAAAATGTTGGCGACCTCGACACCAGTACAAACATAAGGAAGACGAGGACAATGCGTATGCATGCGCAGAAATTTACCCAAAAAATTTCGGAATAGAATTTAAAAAAGGTTTCATGTGACAAGTCGCTTAGCAGACTTGGGTTACACTGTCACGTGTGGCCTTTGGAGGGCTTTCAATCGTAAATATAATTATGAAATATTTGTTTGAACAACATGCTTGTGGACAGCATGTTATCTCAATGTACGTGTTGAAATTAAAGAAGGCTTTTTTTAAATGTAATAACAATATAATAAAAACAACCACAAAGTATTCTCTCACACAACATCCTCCTAAAATTCTATCTGCACCACTTCAAAAACTACTAATCAAAACATGCACGAAATCATAAATGTATCTAGTATTGCTGGTGAAAGTTCATTTGCATAATGATCACTATTGTAAATTTGATTGTCTCCAGGTACGAAGTAGTCAACATAAACCTGAAAAGTAAACCAGAATGGTTCCTACAGAAGAATCCTATCGGCAAAGTGCCCGTTCTGGAACAAGATGACAAAATCGTGTACGAGTCCCTCATCTGTTGTGACTACCTTGACCAGGTGTATCCCCAAAACAGACTGACTCCTGAGGACCCTTACCGCCAGGCTCAGGATAAAATGCTCATAGAACATTTTGCTCAGGTGACTCGAACAGTAAAATGTATACACACAGTGATCATTTGGTAAAACGCCTGTTAACCTCAATTTATTACGCTGCAATTTTTTAAGAAAATGGATTACATGCATAGAGTTTGTTACCATTCTAAAGTAATAATTTATGAGAACCCCCAAGACTTTTACTTTTTTTTAAGGCTTGGGTAGACTTTGAGTTTACCTCAGGACAAACACTTTTTTTGACTTTGGAAAACTTCCCTTCATTACTTATTTGTTTTATTCATAAAGGCTCTTGTCACATCAAGTTTGAGAAAGATCTCACTAATGAGCTCAAATATGCAGGGAGTTAAATGTTTTTACCTTTTCCTGACTGCAGGAGAAATTTTTAAATACAAATATATATATATATAAGAACTTAAGTTACCATATTTCATTATGCCTTAACCCATGCATTTCTTTGGGATTTCGAAGTCTCAAAGTATGGCCTGTCGCCCGCGTGGCGCAGTGGTTAGAGCGTCTGCTCTAGAGTCGCGAAGTAAGGAGTTGATCCTTACGTCGCGGGTTCGAATCCCACTGTGGGACGTGGAGACCGGTCCTTCGGATGAGACCGTATAAACCGAGGTCCCGTGTCGCAGTAGGTGCTGGCACGAAAAAGATCCCTCACTGCTCAATGGCCGTAAGTGCCGAGTATAGGACAAAATTTGCAGCTCTCCACCGGCAAGTGTTGGCGTCTCCATATGGGTGAAAAATGCTCGAGAGGGACGTTAAACATACAAACAAACAAACAAACAAAGTATGGCCTTGATTTTATATAACATTGTATTTTGAATTAGATGATGACGGAGTTCTATAAAGTCCGCCAAGGACCCCCTGCTGAGATACCTGCTGGCTTGGAAAAGTTTCGTAAACAAATGATCAGATTTGAAACAGAAATACAGAAGAGGGGAGATTACTTCGGAGGTGGATCCTTATTTTCTTAAGGAAGCTCTAAACACTGATACAGACTTTTTTATTTTGGACTTAGAGGAAATTGTATCAGACAAAGGAGTACATATTGAGTTTATTTACTTCATTTTCAACAAATGTACCTTCATTATATCTCCAGGAAAAAAAAATCAAAGACAGTTATGTGTTAGCGAATCACGGATGCATATTTACGTAGGGAAAATACCTGCAAATAATGTTTTCAATTACTTTTTCTTGGTCAAAAAAAAAATGTTAAAGATACTTTAAATTATTTCAATTTGTGTCATTTCCTGTAGATTTCCGTTCATTCTATTTTACACCAAAGAGCAGATCACCCTAACTGCATAAAACTACCATGGAATTTGAACTCTTCAGTGAGCAGTGTTTAGAGCTTTCTTAAGCAAATATAATTCTTTCTTGCGACAAATCATACCAATATCTACCATGCCTCATTGTTTGAGTTCGAAATCGTTGGTTGTTAAGGACATACGCAACGTAGTTTGAACTTTATTGTCTTTTTCCCTGGAGTTGAAGAGTTCCAATACTTAAAGGAATTATGTGCTACATTTTTATGTCTATATATGCTTTTCTACACTTCTTCTAAAACAAGTTTTGATAAACAAAACATGTAGAATATATGTTTCGTAATTTTTGTGTATTTTTCTTTGAATTATACAAGAATTTTCATCAATAGATATCTTTTCAAAACCCCATGTAATGCATGCTGATTTTTTGTCGACGAACATCTGATGGCACTATAATCTTAGATTAAGAATATCTTGAAAAATTATCAGTAGGTAAGGTACGTTGCGTATATCCTTAAAGTTACATAATCAACAATTTTTACTTTCTTTTTTAAATTCTTTTTATAGGTAACAAAATACAGATGATAGACTTTATGATTTGGCCCTGGTTTGAGAGGATCTTTATCATGGAGAAAATGCTTTCCCAAATAATCTTGTCGGATGAATCTTTGCCAAAATTATTACAATGGACGTTGAGGATGTCGGAATGTTTAGCCGTCAAGCAATGTCGTAGGCCTGTTGAACAACATATGGAATTTTTCAAAACTTCAAAAATGGGCGTTCCAAACTATGACGTAGGTTTGGAAGAGTAAAATCAGCTGGTTAAAATGAATTTTTAAAAATGCTGACATTATGAACTCTCTGATAGATTATCAAGTCATTATCCTATGTAATGTTAAAATGCTTTTTTTTCTCTTTGCTGTTTTTACTACATTGTAACAGGTATATATTTTATTGTTAAATAAAATTCGTTCTTTTTTTTCGGACAAATTTCGATTTTCAATGTCAGAGGCAGTGATAGGTTTTATAAACGATATGGATACGATTTGAAGCTTGCGAACTAACCTTTCAATTTCAAACTAGTCACAGAGATGAAAGATAAGCAGTGGGGAAAAGGCATCACCGATTAACTATAAGAAAAAAAAAACTCAAAGATCTAGATCTAGGTCAGGAGAAGATGCTAAGGAACTACCCGAAATTTTATGTCTCTTTTATAGACGCTCAGTAAGCTTTATTTGTAAAAAGATAAAAAAAAAAAACAAAACAAAACAAAAAAACAAGGATAAAAGCAGTGATGGATTTTGAAATTCCAGTGTATTGAAAAATTTTTGACTGCCATTCTTTATAATGACTTTTGGCCATGAAATCTGAAACGTGTCCATGTTGAATGTTAATAAGGAAAGTCCATATTCAATTTCAATAAAGCTCTATCCATGGTCAAGCTCCGTCCACTACACGTCATGGCACAATTATTCATGAGCAATTAGGATCGACTTTGTGGAAGGACAGTCTCTGTCAAAGGATTTTTTAAACCAATAAATCAACAGTAAACACCTATTTACCGGCTATGAATACAACAGCAAGTTTATTTTTCCCCAAGACAGCAACTATTATAATACATGTAATAGGTGTCTTATTATACCGAAGCAGAATTTACTTGTGTCAGGTCACGATCAGAAAACCAGAAGAGTTCCGAGAAATGAATAGTTCGATGAATTTCACCAATGGCAAATCGCGCAAAAAACTATAAATGCACGGTAGGAGCTGTGAGAAAAAAACCCAGGTTTATTCGTCATATATTTCTATAAAAAAAAATCCACAGAGGTATAATGATAAAAACTAATCACCGAAATGATACCGGAATATTTTCATTCGGTCAAATATTCGTTAAGCCATCTATGGACACATCTATATAGGCGCGCGTTTAGAAAATTGAAAAAAAAATGTTTTTATGTCAGGACTTCTTGAAAGTATAAAAAAATTTGAATATTTCCCCCCATGTTTCTATATTTTAAATCTTTATCTGATTGTAAATTATTTAAATTGAAGGGAAGATTTTATTCTGTCTCTGGACTGGCACGTCTGTTGTCTCTAAATACAGGATAATTGCAACATTCCAACAGAGGCCAACTCACTCATTTCCTTGACTTGTTCAATGTTTGTTAATCTTTGATCGATATCAAATTATATTTAATTTTCTCATGCATTAAAATTTAAAAGCTTGACCTTTTCTAAAAGTTCCTGCTCTACCAAATAAAAATACACAATTGAGAACTTGCGGAGATTTTGATGATTATTAAGACCAACATTTTTGTCCTATAAGGGGAATAAACCTTTTTTATTATTAAGAACTATCATAAAGAAAATACTATTAAATGTAAATATGAAAGTAACTGGATTTTACTGGTGTGGTTATTAAAATGACAGAACAGCAAATGAAATATCAATTAAGTTTTTATCCTTTATATGCCATAATAAAAGCTGGCATATTTAGCCCTGATTTGAACTTTTCTTATATTGGGATTCACCAATTATCATGTCTGACGGGTCAATACCCGCATTAGCGAGATTATGTAGTGTACCTCAAAGGAAGGGAATCAGCTGATCAGATCTTTGTGCTTTTGTTTTGAACATATTTTATTGACAATATGTCAAAGGGATTGGACGTAAGTTCAATGTTTGTGGTCTTTGCAAAATGAATTACACTTTAATTTGGATGAATTACACTTTAATTTGGAGTAAGTTTCGCTTGCGAAAATCACATTTAGCTTTAAAGATCTTACAATGCATTTTCTACATCCATTTTGTGTTAATTTCAATATTCTAGAACATGCATTGTTACTAATTATGGTAAATGTTACAAAGAGATATGGGTATCAACGTATATAATTATAACAATGTACTTTAATACACATCAGAATTACTACTTTTTATGTCCATCCAAAATCGTGGAGTTGAAAAAGGTCTATATCAGCATTTATTATACCATTTTTGGCAGGAAAATGTACAGCTACATATGTATAAATGTACATATTTGTTACATTTTAAAATTTTCTGTTTATCTGTTTGTCCGCAAAAAACTTTAACATTGCTCATAACTTTAGATTGGTTGGAGCTATAGCTTTCATATTTCAAACGTGAATTTCTTGTGACAAGATCTTTCTTTGGGTACCGTCGTATTTGACCTTGACCTTGGAGTTTGACCCAGTTTTACAAAATTTTACCCAACTATAACTTTGGCCTTAACTTTTGAATAGTTGGTGCTAGGGCTTTAATTCTTCACATGTGTAATCCTTGTGACTAGATCTTTCTTTGGATACCAACAAATGCGACCCTTTGACCTTGACCTTGGAGTTTGACCTACATTTTGAAAACTTTAACCTTGGACATAACTTTTGAACAGTTGGTGCTACGGCTTTCATACTTTACATGTGCAATCCTTATGACAAGACCTTCCTTTGCATATATACAACTTTGACCCTTTGACCATGACCTAGGAGTTTGACCTACTTTTGAAAAACTTTAACCTTGGCCATAACTTATGAACAGTTGGTGATAGGGTTTTCATACTTCATAAGTCTTCCTTTGGATACCAACAAATTTGGCCCTTTGACCTTGACCTTGGAGTTTGAACTACTTTTGAAAAACTTTAACTTTGGCCATAACTTTTGGACAGTTGGTGCTAGGGTTTTCATTTTTCACATGTGTATTACTTGTGACCAGACCTTCCTTTAGATGCCACCTATTGTAACCTATTGACCTTGGCCTTGGAGTTTGACCTACTTTTGGAAAACTTTAACCTTTGCCATATCTTTTGAACGGTTGGTGCTACGGCTTTCGTACTTTACATGCGTATATCTTGTGATAAGGTCTTTCCTTGGGTACCATTAATTTTAACCATTAGACCTTGACCTTGATGTTTGACTTTAAGTTACTTTTGAAAAACTTAAACCTTTTCCATATCTTTTCAATGGTTGCTGCTAGGACTTTCATATTTCACAGGTATATTCCTCTGGACAAGACCTTACTTTGGGTACCAACACATTTGATTTGAATTTGAGAAGTTTAATCTTCGCTATAAGTTGCCATACGGGGGCATCAGTGTTTCATGAACACATCTTGTTTATTTTATGGTTCATTGATACTCTAATAAGAGAGATAACTCTTAATGACATAAACGTCTATTATTCCCTTAAAGATTTGTCAAGTTGAAATTTCTTTTTTGTTTAATTTTGCCCATTATGATATACATGTAATTGGTTGTATTTTACTTATAAAATACATTTCTTTCGGAAAATCATAAAAGTTACAGCAGCATTTTATATGAGTGATCAGAGGGTTTATGAACCTTAAGCAAAACTTTATGACTGATAAAATTGATGAAATTGAAATTTAAATCTTGAAATCTCTTTCACTATTTTTAAGAAGATTACAGTATGTCAGACTTTTCATAAATGTTTCTAAAAAAGCAAGGGAAGATCTAGGGTTTACTTCCAAGAGTGGTTCCTGCATAAAAACAGATCTGGCTATTCAAGACAAACTTGGCAAACTGACAATGTCTAACACCAACCCTTTTCCTTAAATACATGACTTGTTTTAGGAGACTGCAAACTTGGTATCGCATAATTATGCAGCACTGGTCAATTCAATTCTTAATTTTCCTTAAGCCTTATGACAAATCAGATAATGGTCAGCTATAAAAAAAAAAAAAAAAAAAAAAAAAAAAAAAAAAAAACACTTTTTCCCAAGGCTAGTAATGTTTAAATGTATGTAGCTGGCGTCAAACTGAACTCTTAAATTGAGCAGCATACCGTTCAAAGGTGAATATTTACATTTGCTGTGTTTTTCTACTAAGCCAACTGTGAAATTGATTTGAAAGTCATTTTTGTGTATACTCACGCGTAGAAATATACACGGTGAAACTCGTGCTAAAGTGACGTCACAATGAGGCTACAGAGATGTAAATAAAAATGTAACGATATAGGACATCAAGAAATTTAAATATTGAGTATATTACTGGTGCTTTTAAATTTGTAAAATGTAAATATAAGGGATGTTTTTAAGTTTAGTGTGAATTATTGGTGTGTAAATCACACAGACTTGCACGTAGGCATATTTTTCATGAAGCGCTAGCGCGCTTCATGAAATATGCCTACGTGACAAGTCTGTGTGATTCACACACCAATAACTCACACAAAACTTAAAAAACATTCCTTAAATAAACTATAAGGAACGGTTTCCTCAATGTGTGATTGTCAAACAACACCTATTATATACACGTATAGATCTATGCGAGATTTGACATGATATAGTTATAACAGCATGGCTCCGATTAACGAAAGTACAATTACACCTATTTTCATTTAAAATCTGAGAAAAATTAAACACATTACAAAAACATTTATTTTGTCAAAATTTTTCATAATTACACAAAATCAGATTAAAACAGAATTTTCTAGAAAGGAACAAATAGTCAAATAGCACTTATTGTTCTGAGAAAAAATCGTATAACAATGATACATGCATATATATATATATATATATATATATATATATATATATATATATATATATATATATATATAAATATATATATAATGATACAAAATTAAACGGAGAGATAACCTTAAACAAAACACAACTAAGTCTTTAACCTTATACCAATGTCTACCACTTTACTTTGATGAAATAAAAAAAGATAAATGTGATAAGGTGCGATAAGTGATTGTACCCAAGGACTGGACATCATTACGAACTATAAATGGTTTTTATATGCACTCTTCTGTACATATAATTTATTTTGTTTTCAGTGATTTGTTATGGTACTTAGTGATGCTATTTAATGTGTCCCAGGTATATATCAGTAAGATACCCACTGAGATAAATTTTAATGCCCCCGTAATCAAAGATTCGGAAGCATATAGTTTTTGCCCTGTCCGTCTGTCTATCTGTCTGTCTGTTATCCGCAAAAAC